ACATGTACACGTGTACCTGCACACACATGTTCATACATACAAATACACACATACCAAGTATACTTCAATTAATGATATAAAAGTTATGAATGGCCTTCATTAGAAAATCCCAGTCATAGGAGCCCTAGACTGCCTGCTCCCATTTTGACTGTTAGCTCTTGACTCTGCCTGAAGAGAGAAAAGCCATGACCTCTAAAGATACCAATCACTGGGGCTGGAGAGACGGCTCAGCGGTTAAGAGCACTTACTGCTCTTGCAGAGGACCCGGGTTCGATTCCCAGCACCCACATGGCGGCTACGAACAGTCCTTAACTCCAGTTCCAGGGGAATCCAAAGCCCTCTTCTGACCTCTGCAGCATTGCGTGACACATGGGTGCACTCACATACATGTAGGCAATACACTCATACACACAAAATAAAAATAATAAATAAAATATTTTTTAAAAAGATGCCAATCATCATCATCATCATCATCATCATCATCATCATCATCATCTATGGATCCAGAGGTGACAAGTCACTAAACTAGGATGACCCTAACCAGCCACAAGGCAGCATCCTTTGGGAAGGTCTGTGCTGACTTGGTCAGAAGTGCAGAGAAAGGATCTTGAGCAAAGGACCAGTAGGAAGCTTACCAAGACTGAGTATTGAATGTCTTGTAGTAAAAGTTCTAAGGCATGAGATGCCTGCCATCCACAAGTCCACAAGTGACACACTGGCCAGTTCCTTTGCCTCGAGATCATTAAGCAGATGACGTCTCTCAGAGTTGTGCCAGGGGGTCAAGGTTGAGGTCACCATTGCAGGTGGTTGAGTAGACTATTTAAATAAATTGCTTTTTAGTTGTTTTTTATTTAAAGCACTATTAGGGACAGGATGATATTTAAAACTAGCACATGGGCAAATTCAGTACCAAATGCTAAGCAGATGTTGAATGGATACACCAAAAAGGAATGTTCTAGAGCAAATATAGCTACATTGCCTCACAAGGGGAAAAAACTAAAGGAAGTCCCTGCCGGGGATCCTTGGGGGTGAAGTGCTTTCTTTTCATGAGGATCAATCCAACCCTGCCCCGTATGCTTAAATGCTAAATTCAAAAGTGTTCCACCGTGAAAGAACAACAGGCCCTTGTTTGCCCTCCAGGGAACGAAAGAGGCTGAAGTATGTGCCTTGCTGAGACAGCACTGTAAATAGCAAAGAAGCCCTATTTTTCTTTATATGCAGACAAAGCACAATCCCACAGACTTGGATCTTAGGGGATCTATAGATTCGTTTTTGCCAGAGTCATCAGGCTCTGTTCTAATGCCAAAGATTTTAACACAGTTGGTGGCAGCAAAGCCAACACTGGTGACTTAACAAAGATTGCTCATTCCAAAGCCACAGTTCTGAAGGAAAGGGACCTGAATTCTACAAGGAACAACTGCTCCTCTGTTTCCATTTCTGAAATCCCCTGAATGTAGTTACATCACTCCCATCAACCTATCAAAGATGGTATGTTTGCATTTAGACTCAAAAGTCATGGTGTTCAGATAGGCATCTTGAATGTGCAGTTGGTCAGTAATGGGAATTCTGTGGACAGATGGGCCATTTGGAGTAAACCACACTTTGGTCCCTTTAAACTGATGGAGAGCCGCTCAGGAAATCCAGAACCACAAACTGGGCAGGGGAATGAAGGTTACATTTTTCCTTGGAAGAACTGTTTAGGAAAGGAGATTCTGCTGAATTCACACCCAGAGCTCTAGTCCTCTCCATCTCAAATCTCCAAGGGACATAGATAGCATTAGTCTCTGCAGCAGGTAGTGGCAGGAAGTCTATGTGGTTGCTGGATTTTATAAAGTTCCTGTTTCAACCCTACATTCTTTCCAGGATACAAATTGGGGCTGAGTTTGTTGACTAAAGAACCCCAGATTTCTAGAGAGAGGTGAAGGGAGACAGATAGGAACTGCTGGTTTAGAATTCAACCTGGACAGCAGGCAAACCTCAGCTAAGTTATAAAGAGTTAACAGAGACATCTCTGAAGGTTCTGACTGCGATGGAGAAATCACAAAAAGTATTCACAGCTGTTCCAACTCCTAAGCTCGTCCCCATCCTCCAGACCTTTGAGGTTGAGAGCAAAAACTTATCTCGCCTTGCCTGCCCCCTTTCCAGGGCTGCTGCAGTTTTCTGAGTCTCAAGCTGAGCTTGACCAGAACCACAATAGGATTTGCTGAAGTCATTGAAGCTGCAGGGCATCCTTCAATCAGCTCAGAGACTTGGACATGATGTGCTTGGTCTACAAGGGACTGTGTGTATTTTTTAAAATTCTCTCTCTCTCTCTCTCTCTCTCTCTCTCTCGCTCACTCACTCGCTCACTCGCTCTCTCTCATCACACTGCCATTTACATTGGCCTTGACATGGGGCATCAGACATACCATAATAGATACAAAATTAATAACATTTTTCCCATGGATATCTTCAAGTGTTACAGAGTAAGATCACAAACCACAATACAAAGTTTCATTCAATCTACTGTGTACTGATGAACACTGAGCCAAACCAGAAAGGAATACACCTTGAAGAGAATCGACACAGCGTGCTCAGTTCTACCTATTAACAGGCTATGCTACTTGAATACAGTAGCCTACAAGAGCCAAATCAATCAAATTCATATTTATTATGAACTCTCTACATGAAAGGCATATGATTCTTATTATATTAATTGAGAAGAAATTCAAAAGACAGAAACAAAGCGTACTAACCATTAAGAAGCAGGCACTTGAATCATCTTTGACAGTAATGCTGATTACAGAACCCAAGAAAAATAATTAAGAGGTAGATGAAGGAAAAATAGACGTTACCATCTCAAAAAAAAAAAAGATAGTGATCAATTTTCTATTTCTACTGAGGCTAAGGGAAGTTTTAAACTGCAGAAGAAAAATATTATAATATATGGAAGAGCAGATTATCAGAATAGTATACCACACACTAGAAGTTATTAATTAACAAGATTGTGAACTGTCTCTGCTTCTTAAAATTACCATTAAAACAGACTAGATAAATCAACCATGAGCGTTTGCTAAGGCTCCAGCCCAGGTCCAACCTCATAGAATATAGTCTTGGGGTTAAAAGTGGGAGCTATTTGGTCAGATAAGTCCCAGCTTGACCATTTTTAGACAATGCAGCCTAGGGCACATTATTCAACCTCTTTAAGCTTACTTCCCCCACTTTGAAAACAAGGGTGACAAGGGTGACTACCCCCATTTAATCATTGTGAGTGTTAGCTGAGAACATGTGGGGACAATCAAGCCTACTGATGGCATCTGAGACCTGCGCCATAACCCACTGCTCCTTCTTCCTGTTGCTCCTGTTTGACTCCTTACCTTCTAGAAGTTACTTATCCAGAGATCCAGTTTGCCAGAGTCCAGTCAACAATGAATACATGAACATGATTGGATGTTCTAGACTCCTGCACTTCAGCGAACACCATTTGCTCCCTCAACTTACCAGGCACAAATATTCACAAAGATTTTTCCCTCCGGATTTATGAAGACAAAGAAGTTTTAGTTAGGTGCAGTATCATTTTGGTAGAGGCAGGTCAACCAAAACCCAGATTTTTAAAAATTGTATTGACTTTTTATGATTTTCATACATTATAATTTGGTGCTATTAAGATCTCCTCTCTCCATATCTTTCCTTCCTGCCCCCATCCAATTTC